CTTTAGAACGGCTCCAAATGACACTAAACTCATATGGGTGAATAGAACATGATGTAATAACGTAAAATCAAGGGCCCAATGTAAATAAATAACTATGTTCCCCTTTAACTTTTACTTAACCAAGAATCACCTGGAACGTTTCTGTAATTTACTACTACAGAGAAAGACAAGTAAGCATTACAACAGGTCTTAAGTCCTTAAGTTTTTATGTTCTTTCTTTTCAGAGAAATCCTTATATCAGGCTGGTGAGAACTTTTGTCTCTGAATTTTTTTATTGAATTTGAACAAACTCTAAGTGGCAGTCAATCTGACTGCAAAAAAATGAATTCTAAATAAAAACATTTTTTTCTGAAAATAAAAAGGTTTTTCTTGAATTGAGGATGGGAGACACTTGAAATTAAAAAGGACAATTTACATTTAAAACTAAGACAGAATGGGTGTGCTTTGGTGGCGCAGCGGTTAGCGCACACAACCCATGTATGGAGGCCTTAGTTCTCGACAGGCGATCCGAGTTCGAATCCGACCTGTGGTCCTTTCCAGCATGTCTCTCCCCCTCTCTCATACCCCCTTTCCTGTCAGCCTACTGTCCATAAAAACAAGCCACTAGTGCTGTAAAAACTTTTAAAAAAACTGAAGACAATATTCCAAGTGCATATTAACTTATTTTAAGAGTAAAATACTCATTCCTTTGGCAGATCATCTTATTTCCCTACTTAATTTAAGATATTTTTACTTATTTTTAGATCACTTTTGCTGTGAAATTTGAGCAAAATAGTGTAACAATAATATTAAAACAAGCACTGATTAGGAAGTTAAAAACGAATAGTTAGGATTCAGGTCAAATGGATGATGTTGTATGAGTACCTTCTGTCCAGGTTTGTAGCTTTGACAGCTGCAAACACCCGTGTCTTCAGGGTCAGTCCTGCCCCAGGAATGGACAGCTGCTGAATGTATGATGAGTCCTATTAAGAAGGAAAATCACTATCAACCATGTTTGCAACATTATTTTTCCCCCATTGCATGTTTCACTCTCATTTGTTTCAATATATGTAAGGAAAAACCTCCATTATTCAGATTCAAGTTCAATCAGAGGAGTGAGGATTGGGTAATGGGAACAACGGGATAATCTGTAATTGTGTATAACTTTACAGAATTACATGATTTCAAGTAAAATGTGAGCTTTTCCAAATGCATACTGTAATTTATGACACGTGTTTTGTCATATTCATGAATGTACACCGCTAAGAAAAGTCTGACGGAAGGAAAAAGTGAAAATGTGCAACTCAACTAAGCAGCAACAACAAAACATTTGTTTTTATTTTTGTGGTCTTACATTGTAAAGCAGCAGATTTAGCGTGCTGATAAAAGTTCCATTGCTTTCTTTCACTGAGATAGCAGCAGCTGACCTTTAAAAAAAGAACACAAAACACTTTACTATTCACCAAGAACATACCTCATTAATATACATATAAATAATAAAAAAAGAATAACACCTCTTCCAGTAAAAAGTTTTATTCCAGTTTGATCTTGGCTGTGAAAAGTGTTTAGACTCGCCACAAATAAACATGGCCAATTTAACTCTATAATGCAAAGAGCATCCACTCTCTGTACCTGTTGCCTATTTTGAAAAATGTCCCTATCTTTGATATTTAGACTAAAGGACATTTTAAAGGTTACTTCTTAACATAATGAAGCTTATTTCTTATCCGGATTTTTACAATTAGTTTTATTCAATATTTTCCAGGGTAGCAGAGCAGGTGTAGCTCCAAGACACAGACTAACTTGGAA